TCCATGAACCGCACTCCATCGCCGCGCGTGCGGCCGTGTACCCTCGTGTCCTTTCGTCCCAACTCCTTCACGGCTCGTTTCGAAAGCGGCGGGTGCGGGGGAGCGGGGGTGGCGGCGCTGGTGGGCGGCGGCGGCGGCGGCGGCGGCAGGCCCGGGGGCGAACGGGGCGGCGTTGTTGCGGTCGACGGTGGGGCTGATGATGGGGAGACGGAGATCGGCGACGGGGCTGTGAAGATCGGCGGGGAAGCGGGCTACGGTGGTGCGGTGGTCGCTCGTGCAGGCGGGATGTAGGTGTACGTCCTTGATGGCGGGGGCGGCGGTGGTGCGGCATCGGCCGCAGGTACGGCGGTGGCCGGCGAGGGCGCCGCGGTGACCGAAGAGCCTCCCCCGATGCTCGGCACCGGCGCCGGCCCCCTGCCCGGCGGTTGACCCACACGACGTTGTTGGTGAGGGCGAGGCGACCGGTGTCAGCGCGAAGAACGACGGCGGTAGACGTCGAGTGGTTGTTGGCGCCGTGCAGGTAGAAGCACCGCGCGGATTGGACGTCCGCCTTCGTGGCCCGCTTCACGCGCATCATCCCCTCCTGGAAAAAAGGGATGACGGTGAGGGGCGGCTTCCGGCCGAAGAGCGCCTCAAACGGCGACATCCAGCCCAGGTTGGCCTTCGTCGCGGAGCGGTTGAAGCAGGCGGATGCCCACAGCGCCGACGCAAGCCACAGGCGATGTCCGTTGACGCCGACGTTGGAGATGGAGGAGAGGTCGACGTGGCCCATGGCGAGGATGTGGCGGCGCGCGGCGTGGCCCCCCTTCATGGCGCGCCATATGGCGCTCTCGACCACCGCGTCTTGCTTGGGGGTGTCGGGGGTGGTGTATTCGCGCCGAATGCCAGCAGCGTCGCAGAACGAGGTGAACGCGGAGCCCGTGAACTCGCCGCCGTTGTCCATGCGGAAACACCCTGGGGTGCCCATGCCGTTCATGTCGGCGAGGAACCGCTGCACGGACTTCAGGGTGTCGCTCTCGGCCCGCATCCCGTACCCCCGTTGCCACCGCGATGTGCTGTCCACGAACATGATCAGGTACCGGGAGCCGTCCAGCGCGTCAGAGAACGGGCCCGTGAGGTCAATGTGGGCTTTGCCGAACGGTACCGCCGCGCGGGTGCCACGCCGCGGCACCGGTGCCCGCCTGCCCTTCGTCTCCACGCAGCCCACACATGACTGCATCTACCCCACCAGTCGTACGCCCTGCTGCTTGGCCGTTTCACACATCAAAAATTCGATTACATGGCCGGTGGAGGCATGGAACAAATTTATGTCAATGGTCAAATCTTCGAAGATCGCGACATGCGGGGACTGTACAAACACCTCAAGAGCTCGGTAGGCCTAGACGGGGGACAGACAGGAGGGACAGCAGCCCGTAAAAGACGAGAATGGTGTCGTGCTGAAGGGCAAGGGTGAGATTCTCCAACGATGGGCGAGGTTCTTCGGCTTTCTACTCAACGCTAAATCTCCCAGTTTGAACCCATCCATCATCGAGGAGGTAAAGCAGCGACCAAAGGTACCAACCACTGACGGCTTGCAACACCTGGGGCCCGCGCCGACCCTGACAGAGACCTGGAGGGCAGCACGGGGGATGAAAAACTGGATTGCGCCTGGTCATGATTCCCTGCCTGTAGAACTACTCAACATCGACGACGTAGACGACCCCATCGTGATCGAAGACTTCTACGCCATCCTCGTCAAAGTATAGAACAGGAGGGAGGTCCCGCAGGAATGGAAAGATGCCACCATCAAGGTACTCCACAAGAAGGCGGACCGGTCCAACTGCAACAACTACAGGAGGATATCCCTTCTGTCGCATGCGGGCAAGGTGCTCTTAAAAACCGTCGCTAACTGCCTCACTGACTACCGCGAGAACACAACATCTTCCCGGAAGAGCAGAGCGGCTTCCGACCGGGCAGGCCAACCATCGACATGCCGATCGTCGTTCGACGACTGCAGGAGCTGGCAAGAAGACGGAGTATCCCGCTGTACATGTGCTTTGTCGACCTCTAGAAGGCCTATGACTCAGTCGACCGGGAACTACCATGGCAGGTACTGACCCGAGCGGGGATCCCGGAGGAAATGATCGCGGTCATCCGCCAGTTAGTTCCACGACGGCATGCAGGCGAGGGTATGCATGGACGATGGAGGGCTCTCTGAATGGTTCGAGGTCACCCAGGGACTGCGACAAGGATGTGTACTGTCCCCACTGCTGTGTAGCATCTCCTTCGCGGCACCGCTTGAGATAGTGCTGGTACAATTCAGCGAAGACGAAGTTATCCTTAGGGACCTGGTTACCCTCGAGGAGGAGGCTGGGAAGAGGGCAACGACACCGCTAGAACGAGTCCGGAAGGCGGTGTGGGGTGTGCTGGACGCCGACGACGCTGGGTTCGTATCAAGATCGGCCAAAGGCCTGGCGAGGATGGTGACCATTATCGTGGAAGTGTTTGGATCATTCGGATTGACAGCGGAGAAGAAGCAGAGAATCTCCTGATGAAGGTGCCGGAGAAGAAACCGAAGAAGGGACCGCCGCCACCGCCACCCCCACCACTTATGGCACCGCTGGTGATCAAAGCAGCAAGGCAGAGGTACGCCCGGACAGCGGAGTTCCGATATCTGGGTAGCCGGGTCGGAGAAGATGCTGAACACGCAGGAGATCAACCAACGGAAGCATGCCCAGGAGCTCTTTGACAGACCGACCGCTCTGTGGGGACTTAGGTTCCGGCTCCTAAAAGCGGAAGTGACGGAGGCCCTGCTGTATGGATGCATGACGTGCACCCCACGCCGCAAGCACTACGACATCCTGACGACTACCCACTACCGTCTTCTACTTCGGGTTATCGGCAACCGCCGCAAGCGCGGCCAATATCCGCAACTCTCGTACGCGCAAGCCCTGAAAAAGGTCGGATGCCAAAGCGTGGAGGCTACTGTTCGACAAAGGCGACTACTGTTTGCTGGAGCAGTGGCCAGACAATCGGACGGACGACTCCCGAAGCGACTGATGTTCGGAGATATCGTAGGGGGGAAGGACCCAGAAAGCGGGCGCCCGGAAAACAACTGGGTGCCATCCTTGAAGGACGACTTCGTAGAGTTCTGTGCCAATGCCGAATCCACGGCTGTCGACCTGCGGACGTTCGGGATACCGCGCGGCTGCTGGCCGGTCGCAGCGAAGCTGAAGAAAGGGGTTTCGTGGTACAATGTGGTGATGGATGGAGCAGAGCACTTCACGGATAAATGGCACAACGAGCAAGAGAAGCTAAGCATACTACGCGAGGAGGAACGGAACAAAAAAAACACCGGACAGAAGACCAAAAGGACAGCAGTGCAGAGGGGGAAGGGAACACGGAGGGGGAAACGTCGAAAGACGGAAGACACGACTGCAGCTGAAGAGAGCAGGACGGATATGGCTGAACGGATAGAGGGATGTATACCGGGATGATGATGAGGATGGAGGCGATGGCAGCAATACCAGCTGGATCTATCCCCCATATGTTGTTCCGTCGTGTCGCTAACCCCTCCCTCGCAGTGCTACCGAAGTGAGTGATGTTGTGGCGTCGGAAGTCGGTATATATCTGTTTGGTGTCGCGTTTTTAGTGGCCTATACTTCGTTGTTGTTCCGGTAGACTCGAGCGTAGACTGGAGCGTTGGAGGGGACCTGTCTATCTGCCGTTATTTCTTTCGTTGTCTTTCTCTGTTCTCGTTCTGTCTTATCATATACATTTTATTTTTTTGCCTTCGTTATTTCATTTCCTTGACCGGGGTCGTCGATCGTCTCTTTATCCAGAAAATAGTTTGCCTTATAGTGTTGTCAAATCACGCCTTGGAGTTTTAGAAAGGTGTATCCTCCCCCCCTATGGGGGGCAGTTGACTTGTGACCACGGAAGGTGTCTGCGTCAGTTGGACCAGTACGGACGTTAGAAGGTGCTGAGTGGAGACCGGAACGAACGGTTGTTTCACGTGAAGGCAACAACAACAACAACCATCGAGGCAGTTACACTGTGCTTACAACTGTTCTGGAGGTGAAAGCACCACAAACTACATAACGTCATTGATTCGTAACTGTCATTCGTATGCAAGGAGGTAAGCACGAGATGCTGAACGCGTCAGCAGGATGCAGCGCACCGTGCTTCGCGCTTGGTGATGAGAGCCTGGTCCGGTGAGAATCCGGCATGCTCCATCCCGGCTTCGTAGGAATACGAGATAAATGGTCAACGACTACGGCATGCACGACCATGTGAGTACACACACACAGGCACACACCGGCTATGGTCATCTTGACTTTTGGACGAAAATTTAGTCTTTTTGGTGGGACCGATTTCGTGCGTGTACTTTGGAGTCAGGGTTAGGAATATCAAAGTTCTTTCACCTGTAACGATTGGTTGTATTGCTCTCTGTGCGATGGCGGAGAATATGGCGAGGAAAACCTGTAATAATACTATCCCCTGCTCGCAACTGCAGTAACTGAGTTCTGCATTAGCACGGGAATGTTAATCGTTTTGGTTTCGTTCCATGTTTCTCTAGATGTGGTTCGAGACCCAGATGCTGCATGTACTGTGCTGCTGGTGCAGTCCCACAGATCGGAATGTACCGACGAGGTTCAGATAGATGCGGTACAACAAACACTTTTTCGTCTTGCTCAACCACTCGGCGCTGCTCACAACTCTCGCACACGACTCTCACTCTCGCGCGACTCTACCCGTCACCAAGTCCCTCCAGTAGCACTCAACGTGGTCCGCTGCTTGCAACCTTGCCGATTCCTTACTTCCAAGGGAACTTTGGGGCTGCTCTGCGCCGTCCACAACAACGCCGCGCTGCTACGAACACGAGAACAACGACTGCAGACTATTCGATAAAGGCTGACCACTTGATTGACTACTTGCACAGTCAACCTTGGCTGTGCTTTTCAAGTTAAACCCCAACACGCTGTAGGTTATGGAGGCAACTAAAGTCTCCCCCGCCCATTGAAGCCAATGACATGCAAGGTGAAAAAGCACACAAGCAGCGACATTGATGATGCAGGGCAGAGCAAACAATGTGACTGTATTCCATGTCTGTCCACGGGTACACGCGGAAAAAAATTCCGGGAACATAGGCCACCCCCCCCCCTTCCGGACGGGGAAGAAATTCGACAAGTTACCATGAATCGTCGAAAATCTACTTTGAGGTCGCAGTATATACTACGTTGAGATGGAAATGGCAAAGGCGTGCCTCACTCTCGTAACCCGTCCTGCATCTACCTCCTCTTCATCGATGTTGGCCTATTCTCACCTAGTCGTCCTACTACAGAACCACACGGAAACAAGCAGCCTAGACTAGTTCGCGTAGCGCCTAGTCTCTACCAAGAGAGTACAAACGACCTCCCTTTCAAGACGCTCAAACTCCCCGCTTCTCCCTTCTTCCCCTCGCTCCTCGACAAGCTTTTGCTTAGACATGGGTTGTAGTGAAGGGGGGGGTCTTTCTGGCGAGCAGGGCTAGACTCACCCTCAAGGGATGACCGAAACCTTCTTGCTGCTGCGCATA